TTGGTTTTTCCTGAGAAAAGAATCCCGCTCTTTAGCTGCTAAATGCTCCACTATCTTCCCTATCTGCAAAATAACCTATTTACTTGCTGGCTTTTCTTTAGACTGCAGCACTTGTTCAGCATTCCCATCATTATCTGACATTTCACTAGATGGAAAAGTGGACTTGATAAGTCGAACCTGTGTGGAACGTTGCAGGTTTTATCAGAGCGCGGGATCCACAGGAGGGATTTGTTGGGCTTTACTCTTTTATGAGACAAATATTGTGACTTGGCCCTGTTGTGAAAAGGCCATTGCTTTACCATCACATCCTCCATCCACTTATGTAAACAGAGGCCTTATACAACACACACACATGCATGCACGCAGACACCTCCCAACACATGCACTCACCCCTGCTCATTTTACAGGGCCTTCCCCTTCTCATGCACACCCACCTTAAAACTCAGAAATAGACTGGTTCAGTTGAATGAACTCTCTCTGCCCTCATGGGGTGATTTCAACCCTTTTAACTTTCAAAATATTGTGGAGTATGTGCCTGTGATATGAAGCCCTTGTGCGTATGATGTGGATAACTTGACAAATGTGAGCATTTTTCCTCTTGTGTGTCTCCCTCAGTTTAGTTCACACACCAGGTGCTGCTCAGTATTTCGTGTCCACCGTGGCTCCTGTGTGCTCTGGCACAGTGAGAAGAATAATCACAGCTCCTCCGCTCAAACCAATATCAGTTGCCAAAAGCACCCAACGCAGGCTCTGCGCCTCACACAGGAAATGAGTGGATGATAGTGGAAAGGTCCCACTTCACTGAAAAAATCCAAATCACAATCGCTTTATCTGTCGACACCAACAAATGCAGAGGTTTTTTGTTTCGTTTTTTTGTCATGGTGCAGAGACAATAGGACTTCAAACCCACTTGTTCACACTGCCAAAACTTGGTTGATGCATTCAAAGTGACTGCAGTGCCAGAGGCTTTGATAGCATCTGTGCTATGGGCTGCAGTTCAGAGCTGACAGAGCGGGTGTTTTCCTGTGCTACTGGTAATGTAATCCATCTTCACAATGGGTGCAACCATTCTCGTCTCCTTTCTGACTTACAGGTGAGAAATGAGAAGCTTTGAAGGTAAATGAGCAAGTCTTGTAATGATTTCCTCCTGAGAGCGTAGTGCCCCAGTGCCTCTGCTTCAGAGGACTTTACATCCTTACAAGATTAGCAGTTTGTGAGAAATGTATATTATTAGAAGTATATTACTTTATAACAAGGCACATTTTATAACTAATGGCTTCATTAATGATTAGTAAACCAATGCTGACTTTTCTGTTGTTAATAACAAGATTTTGGTCCAACCCAGATTAGCGTTGTCACAATATACTACTATTGATGCTAATCATGATATTTAAAAATGAAATATTGATGTTGTGTTAATTATACACATATGATAATATCAAATAAATAATCCAGCGCCTCTTAGACCATATCCTTTTTTTCTTTTCTCACTTTGAATTATTTTGGCCTCGATTATGCTGTGGTGAAAATATGATCCAGATCCTTTGCTCCATTTTGCAGAACATAAGCTGTCTCACAGTCCAGTCAATCAATGGGATTTTCCATCAGCTTGCAACCCAAAACATACTACTTATTGATGGTTTATAACAGATCTACAAAGCTAAATAGTCACCCCTATAACAGTGGTACCAAATGATCAAATTCAAAAAGTGTACAGAATAACGTCTCTGTTAAAATGTCAATATTGATCTCTAAAGTCAGAAATCTCTCAAACCCTCCAACAGGAATAGAAACACAGAGCAGACACATTATTTCACATACGGGGCAAAACATGAACAAGACAAATTCCAAGCCGTCAGCCTTATATCAGTCAGTGCTATGGTACACTGCGTAATCAATCCTTCAGTTGAATATGGATAGATGATTCCCATGAGGGATCTCAGTGGGAATTGACTCTGTTGTGCCTTGCCGCTGATTATTTTAGCTCGTAAATCACAACTTGGGAGTAATGGGCTGCACTTACAGGGGTCAGAGTTTACGATTAAATCACCCTGAACGACAAAGACTGTGAAGCAAAGGTTTGCGGCTCAACTCTTTTTAAAGGGGTGCGAGTGGTGGTGGTGTTTGAGGTGTGGGTGGGGTGATAAGGGGGTTTGAAAGTTGGCGTTCGTTGCTTAGATCTAACTCTGACCTTAGCCAGATGACCACCAAGATGGAGTGTGTGCGCGTGTGTGTTTGTATGTGTGTGTCTTCAGCCAGGTTTTTCGGAGAGTGCTCGGCACTAATAGGGACTGGCAGGCATTTTGTTGGGCTTTATTGCCACATGCCTCTTCCAATCCTGCTGCTGATTAGAGCTGCCATTACTGGCACATACACAAGTGCGTGCACTCTTACAAGGCAGACCCACACACTTTGGCACACAGTCAAAGCTCGGGCCTTTGCATGTGATTAGCATCCCATTGCGTTGTCTTGTGCAGCGATCAAACGGAGCACAAAGTTGTGCTCTTGTCGAGGCAGATTGGTGGAAGTGACGGGTACATCGTCACTCCACTTTTATTCTGCTCATCAGGGTGCTGTCAGCTTAGACAATGTCAAATTTGGTGCAAAGCAATTAAAGGCCTGGGCTGTCACAATTGGGCCTGATAGGGAAGGCTCAGCACGCAGGCAAACACATCAACACACATTCAGCCACGGTTGAACTGCCATGCTCACACATGTGGGTATACAACATGTTCACCCACATGCACACACACACACACACACATGCATACATACATTTACAGAAAGCATGCAGGCGATTAGCTCAGAAAGTGCAGGTTTAAACTGTTAGTCATTGCTGATTCACAAGCGACTGGCTGGCTTCCACACAGCTACTCACTGTGCTGCCTGTCAAACACACAGGCAGCCAGCAGCTGGAGGTGTGTGTGTGTGTGTGTGTGTGTGTGTGTGCGTGCAGGTGTTCTTGAAATCCTGCTTTTTAACCAGGCCACTCTACACCCCCTCTTCACCCGCCCCTCTTCCTCCTTTTTGGCCTTGTATGTGTCTGTGTGTGTATGTGTGTGTTTTGGAAGTGTGTGTGTGTGCATTGGTTTGTGTGTGTGTGTGTACGTGTGTGTGTGTTTGTGTGGAACCTTGCAAGGTTTTGGCTGCTGTATTCTCCTGGATGAAGCCAATGGAAAGCTGAGGTTTGGATGACTTACTTATTTAGGAAAAATTCACCAGAGATGGCCAGTATGCTGCTGTGCTGTCACATAGTCGAGTGTGCGTGTGCGTATGTGTGTGTTTGAGTTCATCCAGCCCTATAGGTAACCCAGCCAGTGGCCTCAGAAGCAGCAGTATTTTTTTCCTAACAGCCTTTAAAGTTATTCTGCTGCTGTTAAAGCCTGAGCAGAAACGCTGCCGGTTCAGTCCCAGGTGGAGACACTCACCGAAGGGTTAAATGCTCTACCAGAAGCAGTTAACACACACATACACACACTAGCTCTCATATGGTGAGTTAGTCATAGCCATGAGGTTCCTCATTAAGCCTAAATCCACTTTCCAGCACATTTAATTAAACTAACTCGATTTTGGAGGACCTGCCGTCAAATAGAGTTTCAGATCTTTACGTAACCTGCTTTTTATTTTCTTGCAACCACCAGAAGAAGAATTTATCCTATCTTCGGGTGTTTTCTTCCTTTTAGAAAAACAAGCCAGTGGCAGGTTTTATTTTGTTACTGCCCAATGAAAACCATGAAGGATTAAAGGCTCTTTTGAGAAAATGTCTGTACGTCTTTAGATAAATAAGCCATTTAAAAAAACCTGTTGGGTTGTTTGTCACAAAGATTAAAACGAGGATCTTGAAAAGTTAACATTGTAGACAGATTTCTTCTTGCCAAAAAGTCTAAATTATAAAAGTCTTTCAAAGATTTCTGATTTCCTTTTTTGTGATAGTTATTTTAAGGTTGTGCGCACAATTTGTGTTTTTTTTCACTCAGTCAATAAAGTCTGATGAACATCACAGCTTTTCCAGTCGGTATACTGCGGCGCACTCTGCAGTGAGTGCAGCTGAGTTTCCAGTGTCTACTTTATTGACAGCAGTGAATGAACGATGGTGGTGTCAGAGGTTTTGGTCTTCCCTTTGTATGCTCCCTCTGTGTAACACTAGTCAGCCCATACGTTACTCACAATATCTGCTCGTACCTCAGTGCTCTCACTGTGATTAGTGAGCCATTGATGTTGACATGAATCTAAGCCTCTACACACACACATATGAACCACACACACACACACACTGAGGCTTGGCAGTTAGTTATATGATCTGCAGTGTGTGAACCCTGGGACCCGCTTGATGTGAGCCTTAAGGGTTTGTGTGTGTGTAGTTGTGTGCGGCTTTGTATGAGTGTTTGTTTCATGTGTGTATTAAGACACAGTCAGAGGAGCAAAATTTTGCAGCAAAATCAAGTAAATCCATGCAACGATCCACACATTTTCATGTCAGGTTCAGTTTTGGTGAACTTTGGTGCATGAATTCATGCCATTAAAAATGGAGGATGCTGTTACTGATGCTTCATCCACTTTTATAACTTATATATCGGTCCATCTGAAAAAGTGAAGAATGTTGGTGGAGTTTCCTCTCTGCTGTAGAACTTGTTTGCTAACCAACCAACCCATGAAAATTCACCACTTTATCACTTTGGTCTGTCTGTTGTGACTAGGGCTAGCATGTTCCTGGCTGCTAGTGCATGCTAGTGGTTCGCTCGCCAGCTAAAGTAGTTCACTAGCTAGCCATGAGAGTAGTCGGTTCTCAAACTACATATTTCCTGTAGTGTGAATCTGTCTGTGTACATAGCACAGTTGTTTATTTGCGTTTGTGTACTGAGTGCCAGTTGTCTTCAGAGAGAGACATTAAAATGATTAAAGCAGCCTTGCCAGTCTTACATGGACATACATGTGTACACACACATATCTACCCACATTACTCACTGGCCCTCTCTTCTTCTTCTCTTTTTCTCCTTTAGCCCAATGTGACCTTCATCTGAGTGAAGTGTCTCTATTCAACATTCACGAAGCAGACGGGCAAAAAAACTGAAAAGAAGATTAAGAAGAAAGCACACAGACGCGCGAGGGAGGAGAAGAAAAGCAAGTAAGAAAGTAAAAACAGAACAAAGGGTGGAGAAGAAAAACACAGCAGCATCTTTTCTCCCTCCTATGATACCTTTCTCAGCAAAAGGCACGATTGGCAGAGTAAATGAGAGAGGAAAACAGAGGAGAGAATGGAAGAGGCATGGGGGGGGGGGCATGTAAAATGAGCGAAGAATCAAAAGAAATAAGAAAGTGAATGTGAGGAGGAAAAGGAAAACCATGCAGGAGGGAGGAGGGTAGCAGTTGTCAAAACAGGACGTGGAAATTACAGGCATTTTCAGGTACTCCCAAAAAGAAATTATTCCGAAGCGAGACAAAGAGAAAGAGGAGAGAGATG